AATAACCGAATAATCGTCTTGCGTACTGCCACAAGGAAAACACAGAAAGGGATACTATGTAAGGTCACCATATGTTGTTGATTTAAAGAAATTCCCCATATTTCAGAGCGTGATGGGTCTCTTTTATTGTGCAGAGATTTCCTACTGCTTAGGGTATGGCTTGTGATAAATGCTTATCGCAATGCCTGCGGCTTTTATTATTTATAACGTCCCACCTATTTCCAAAGGTAGTTTCCATACTGTATATCAGTAATCTGTAATAACAGCCAATATCATGTTTACAAGTGTCTGTGTGTCTGCCTCCTCCCCTTGTACTGCTTTGCCAGCATGGGAAGTTTGGAGATCCCCACAATTCCTTTTTCTTCAGCAATTTGGTATCACCGGTGATCTTGCCTACCTCAGTGCCTACCCCAAAATCTGGATCATTAACAAACAAGTGGAAAAGCACAGGTCCCAAATACGCTAATCTCAGTTCTATTTGCATACAGCTACTGTTCTCTTTCCACTGTTTGTTGATCATTTTGCTGGGACGAGATTAAATTCATACAGCCCAATAAAAAGGTTGTTATTGTTTAGTCGTTTAGTCGTGTCCTACTTTTCGTGACCCCATGGACCAGAGCACGCCAGGCACTCCTGTCTTCCACTGCCTCCCGCAGTTTGGTCAAATAAAATAAAAAGGTACATAACAGTTAAGGACATTAAAGGTGTATGCATACCATACGAGAACCAGTGTGGTGTGGTGGTTAAGAGCGGTAGTCTCGTAATCTGGGGAACCGGGTTCGCGTCTCCGCTCCTCCACATGCAGCTGCTGGGTAACCTTGGGCCAGTCATACTTCTCTGAAGTCGTTCAGCCCCACTCACCTCACAGAGTGTTTGTTGTGGGGGAGGAAGGGAAAGGAGAATGTTAGCCGCTTTGAGACTCCTGAAGGGGAGTGAAAGGCGGGATATCAAATCCAAACTCCTCCTCCTCCTCTTCTTCTTCTTCTTCAAGCACACAGCTTCCCCTGAAGAATTCTATGACCTGTCATTTATGCCTGACAGAGTTATAATTCCCAGCACCTTACAGTTCCCACTGCTTATGTCTATGGCCTTCAATTCTTGCCCACTTCAGAAAGCATATTTTGGTCATTCAGAGCCTTTGGTGAAGAGGCATAGTATAATCACTTGCATTTACAGATGACAGCCATCTTCCTCAATGCCTAATTTAGCTTGGGACATTCATAAAGACGAGTCAGCAGAGATGTTACTCGAAGAAAGTGAAAGCTGATGAATATGAATGGATGAAATAGTTCTCATCCTGCCTCATTGTTATGAGCTTCAACACCAGTAAGTCCCAAGCCAGCATTGCCAGCAGACCATGTTTTATTTTTTTTAAAAAAGCTATTGTTCAACAACATCTGGAGGACCTCACTTTCCCCATTCATCACCTGGGGATCACATGCTTGAATATCCCTCCTTACTATATCCCTGAACATGCAAAGCTTAGCACATGAGGGGCAAAAATTCTAGAAAACAAATTAGGTAAGCTAGTTTTAGGTACAGGGACCCCTGACCATTAGGTCTAGTCGTGACCGACTCTGGGGTTGCGGCGCTCATCTCGCTTTATTAGCCGAGGGAGCCGGCGTACGGCTTCCGGGCCATGTGGCCAGCATAAGCCACTTCTGGCGAACCAGAGCAGCATACGGAAACACCGTTTACCTTCCTGCTGGAGCGGTACCTATTTATCTACTTGCACTTTGACACGCTTTTGAACTGCTAGGTTGGCAGGAGCAGGGACTAAGCAACAGGAGCTCACCCCGTCGCGGGGATTCGAACCGCCGACCTTCTGATCGGCAAGTCCTAGGCTCTGTGGTTTAATCCACAGTATTAGACTGTTGTTAAAAGAAGACAAGATTCTGGGATTCACTGGAGCTTTCAAGAATGTAAAGAATTAAATGGTCATTTAATCTGCACTGATTCTATCTATCATCTATCTACAGTATCTATCTATCATCTATCTATCTATCTATCTATCTATCTATCATCTATCTATCTATATCTATCATCTATCTATCTATCATCCATCTATCGATCTATCTAATTTTACTTTATTCCCTTACTTTTTCCAGCCATATATGCAGCTCCATCTTGAATAGATTGTTGACTTTACTGCTTCAAAACAGCATCAAATGAAGTTTAATACAAGCTATGGTTGGCATCTCCTGTCTAACTTTTAAGTGGTAGAGGAAAGTCTGGGAAACTATTACATTTTGTGGGCCTTAATCATATACATATTTGGTTATCTTGCGGGTAGCTGTTCCTATGTGAGCTTCTTAAGTCTCAAAGTCACTGATAGAAATAATAGAATCCAGAGTGGAGAAAGCATTACAGAATAATCGAGAACGGCTTTGGACCTTATGGAATGCCAGGGGAACAGGAAGGACAACTTTCCCAAGAGTCTAGAAAATGTTCTACTTCAGACAATATAGAGAATTCCAGGAATTCCAGGGGGAAAAGGAAAAAAGGATGAATTTTATCCGTCCTCTCCCATTCAGCAGTGTCCAAAGTTGCTCAGACTTGATACGTTTTGGGGGGTCAAACTGGTATATGTGATTTTAAACATCTCATTAGGAAGCTATCATTTTTAAAACAACAACAACAATAGTAGGTGAGGCGCAATTTTCATCAGGACCACAATATGCAGGAAGGGGAGACTTAACCCTTTCACAACCCACCATGGTCCCAACAAAAATCACTCTCACCAGTCACCACACTACTATCACCGACCCCGGTGTGTGTGTGTGTGCTCCCATTGGCACCAGTGGGAGCTTTTTCTCTGGGACTAATGCCATTTTTGAGGGGTGGTTTTCAGCGGTAAGTAGGCTGCGGCAAAAAGCATTAAACCTCAGCTTCCTGTGTGCTTAGGTCATTGTGATCTACCCACTATTTAAAATGCTAATAACAAAAAAACCTGATGGTCTTTCTCCACATATTTCATGCTAAACACATTGTGGCTCAGTTTTTCTAGCACACTATCTTCTACTATTTATTGGTGGGGTGGTCTGCTCCAGAGTCAGGAATGGGGAACGGACAGACAGGACTGAACAAAGGGATAGCTCTACCCAATCTACTGTAATTTAACATGGTGTCTGAACACAGCCACACAGACCCATGTGGATCTCCCTTTGATACTGTGGTGAGGATGAGTTCGTCCTTGCATTTTTTATTTTTATTTTAGAAGAAAATTACTTCTGAATATAATAGATGTGAGTTAAAAGATAGCTATAAGAGACTGCCAAATGTATGTTTCATTTGTGTGTTTGTTTTTTAAATGAAATGAAATTTGCAGATTCTGGCTTGTGGTTTCTGATTTGTTTCATGTGAATGAACGTTGTGTTTGGGCTAGTGCCACGAAATAGATGCAACATAAATACGTTTCTTCTGTGTCTCACTGTGGTTCTGTTCAAGGACAAAATGGAAGATTCTTCTTCAATTAACAATTACTAAAAATAAAAAAAGACCACGATGACAGCTGCATGTTTTAAAGTAAAGCTACAAATTATGTTTAAACTGGAGGATGTGTTTTAGGCCTCAAAGAGCCTATTAGTTAACATAAATTAAGAAGCTTTTTAATCATGGAACCCACTGATTAAACAATAACCAACATTGAACAGTGGTTAACCAAGTATGCTTTAGTAAGCAATATTGTGAATGCAAACTGAATACAGATTTATTTATTTATTTAAGAAAGCATCAGGTGGTAAAGAGTCACACTTGTCGAAGAAGCGAGTGTGTCGTGTACAACTCATTTGAATGTTAAGGGCTCTAGGCATATAAATATAAGGCATGAGATAAACAAAAAAACAGATCTATACTGTAATTTACAGTATAGACAGTACAGTCTATTTGCAGTATAGTAAAAAGGTAAAGGTACCCCTGCCCATACGGGCCAGTCTTGCCAGACTCTAGGGTTGTGCGCCGATCTCACTCAAGAGGCCGGGGGCCAGCGCTGTCCGCAGACACTTCCGGGTCACGTGGCCAGCGTGACAAGCTGCATCTGGCGAGCCAGCGCAGCACACGGAATGCCGTTTACCTTCCCGCTAGTAAGCGGTCCCTATTTATCTACTTGCACCCGGGGGTGCTTTCAAACTGCTAGGTTGGCAGGCGCTGGGACCGAGCAACGGGAGCGCACCCCGCCACGGGGATTCGAACCGCCGACCTTTCGATCAGCAAGTCCTAGGTGCTGAGGCTTTAACCCACAGCGCCACCCGCGTCCCCCCTGCAGTATAGTACTGTACAGTAATTTACAGTATAGTATAGTATAGTATAGTATAGTATAGTATAGTATAGTACAGTATAGTACAGTACAGTATAGTAGTACCTCGGGTTACACATGCTTCAGGTTACATACTCTTCAGGTGACAGACTCCTCTAACCCAGAAAGAGTACCTCGGGTTAAGAACTTTGCTTCAGGATGAGAACAGAAATCACGTGGTGGTGGCGCAGCAGCAGCGAGAAGCCCCATTAGCTAAAGTGGTGCTTCAGGTTAAGAACAGTTTCAGGTTAAGAACAGACCTCCGGAACAAATTAAGTACTTAACCCAAGGTACCACTGTACTTAAAATATGCCTACCATTGGACTTAATACTCGTTGCAGCAACAGAAGATAAAAGAATCTGGCAGTCTCCTCCTCCTATTGTAGTATCATTGCCAGGCAATAAGACGGACTTGTCCTTGGATGTATGGTCATCTTCTAACATGCAAATGAAATTTCATAGCAAAGAATGAAAAGTATGCATGTGCAGGGCTCAGAATCACATCCATAATGTTTGTTATGGATTTGTTGTTTGTTGGCGGATGTTACCTTACCACACCCCTCCGTAGGGATGAATTTTATAACATGCCATAATATCACAGTACTAGGTATCAGCGAAGAGTGCAAGCCTTAAGTGTAAAATAATCATGTTTAGGTATTCATGAAATAATAACAGCTGATGCTAATAACATGTATTTCCCCCCCAGATACCGTCAGAAGTTGTGTAGCAAAGTTGTTCTTCAGCTGTCCCCTGAAAGGACATTACTGCCTGTACAGTAAATCCAGTTTTACTCTCATCAGTCAACAGCCTCAGCTTTGGATCCACATCATGTTTCTCTTTCAGCAGGTGTGTGTAATATGTACGTATCCATAGTGGCACTTTTATCATTTAAAGGTTCACCGCACCCCCAATTAAAGTCTAAATTGTTATCTCTTTGGAGATGCTGTTGACTCTTATCACTGTTGTTGTGAGGTGAGTATTATTATTCTGGGTTTGCAGTTACTGGGGCCCTGATACTAACTGGGGTCATTGCTAACTATGCTTTCCTTGTAAGGCAGAATTTGGAATGGGCTTGCAATTTGAGGTTTTGCAAGGAACTTTGGCCCTTGTATTAAGCACAGTTGGCTATGGTCTAGCATGAAACCATTAATACCAACAGGGCAATGGATGGGGAATTGCACCAGAAATGGGGGCAGGTTATTGATTTGCAATCTACATTTTTCAGGGAACCAGTGTTATGTCTACCTCAGACTTCCAGGATTGTCATTATTGTGATTTTTCGTCTGCTAATAATGCTGCTTAACATGCCTTTAGCTTTAACTGTACTGTATGCTGCTTCTGGCAGTTTGGGTTTTTATTTTATTTTAATTATTTCGCAACATTTTACTCGATTTTGCAATCATGCTGGAAAAGGATAAAGACCGACTACGTAAATTGCTTTTGCATGCAAGTTGTAATAATATGGAAAATGTGGCCCATTTCAAACAATGTTAATGTTCTTGACGGATTTTCTTTTTACCATGTGATGATTCCAGCTCTCATATTTTGACTCCTATCTACACAATAGTCTAAATACAGTATGAATAACAGGCAGTGCAAATGAAAAGCAAAACACAGCTCAGTATCAGTATCCCATTCCCACTGAAGGGAAAGGCAGTGTGCAGGAAGAGAGCCGGTCTGCGCATTAGTCCAGGAATCCCAACCCAATTTCAGTGCTGTCAAATTTCATTTTATTCTTACATATCCTAATTCAGAGATAAATAATCAAGACACAAAGGCACCAGAGGAAGTAGGCGGAGTTGTCCTCCCCCGCCCCCATAACACCCCACTGCAGATCACGATATTCCTCTGAAGCACATATATATATATATATATATATATATAGTGATTTTAAAATACATTGCATTTCGTCAATTTATAATGTAGTGATATACATACCCACTCTGATGCAAGGTCTGTTAAGTTCAATAGTACTTAATCCCCAACAAGGGAAATTAAGCTTCACTGAACCCATTGGGACTTACTTCTGAGTACAGGATTGTGCCGTAAATCTTCAATATAGCAAAGAGAAGATCGTACAATTTTGCTTTGAATCTTCCACTCACCCATACGCACAAATTTATTTGCCTCTTTGCCACTGAAATAGCACCCCTATAGAGATTTCTTCTCTGACATGGGGCTGTCCTCACACCGCTCCCCACCTCAAATGGGGGGTCGCTTTTTGTGGGGTCGTGTGCAGCCCCTCAATCCTACATGATCCTCGGCAATTCAGCCTGGCTTCGCCTCCCCAAACTAGATACCTGGAGTCTAACCTCAGACAGTTAACCAATCCCAGTTGGGGAGGTGTTGCCAGGGAAGTTGACTAGGTAGGGTTAGGACCGGGGGGTCTCTGCCTGGCCACGCAAAGTTATAGCTGGTATTTATTTACATTGTGCAGTGTTTAATAACATGACCTGTTCACCAGGTATTTGAATCTAGAAAGCATGGGGCACAGAAACTGGAAGCTTCTTTTCCTCTTGGAAGCTCTTCACAGCCTTCTCCTTCCTCCTTAATTACCCCTGCCCATCACTACTGTTGACACTCCTGTTAATCACAAATTGACACTCCTGCCATTCACAAATCCTGCTATTGAGCTGTGGCACGACTATTATGCTTGGCCAAAGCTGAAGAAACAGGACTAGCATGAATCCCAAGAGCACCAATCGGCAGGTAGCTTAAAACCCATTGGAACATTTCCATTTGCATTTATGTACTATGGCAATGATTCAGCAAAACTTTCAAGTCGCACGCTTCCTTTGAGTGTCTCATCTATTTACAGTTAACCGGAGGCTAAAAACTGAATGTTTATTTAGATAATTGTGCGCACTCTGTCAAACGTCCCACAGAAGCAGTCTCTGAGACATCAGAAAATATATTTCTTGCCCCAGGTGGATTTTAGGAGCCAAGGGTAAGAGAAACTTGTGGTATCGGTGTTAATGATATGGAACTACATCAGTAGAGAAACTGAAGTAAGGGTTGAAGCATCTGAGTGAATCTGAACAAAATAGAGAATTAATTGAATCAAATAAAGGAAATAAAGAATATTAAAAGGAAGTGTATATTGGAGGAGCTAATGGGAAAAGAATGTTGAAAGGGGGGGGGGCGGAATGCAAGGAGCAAAGACACCATTGATGAATGAAGCTACTATAATCCAGCAAGTTCACTGAAGAATAAGGTTAAAACCTGGTCTTGGGGAAAATAATAAGGTGAAATAGTTAAATACAGATGAAAATCAGCACTGAGGAAAACATGGTGACAGATGGGTGTAAGCCATGTATTAACAATATTGAATTTAGAAGATTGAAGGTAAACACAATGGAAAATAAAACATTTTTTTTTAAAAAAAAACTGGGTTAATAATTGCACTGCAGTCGCTGTGCCACATTGGTTTCCCTTTATTTTGTAACTTCCTGGGAGTTATAATTTTTATCTTTTTTTAAAATGACAGGGCATAACAGTATCACCCTGTTGCTTTCAGTTACAGTCTGGTTTCAGATTCAGGTTTTATGTACTGTATAGTGTCGGTCGCTTGAATCAGTTATAATGTGTTGAGGACGGGGTTGCCATGCCTCCCTGTACCTCAGCTTCCTTAGCCTAAGCCTCAGAAATAATAATAATAATAATAAATTTTATTTATATCCCGCCCTCCCCAGCCGAGCCGGGCTCAGGGCGGCTAACAACAGTCAAATAACAATCAAATAATAGCACATTCTAAAAATATTTCGTTATAAAAATTAGTTAAAATCAAATTGATGGCAACCGATTAAACAAAATTCTGTGCAGGTTGCCGGAGGAGGGAGTCAGGCTGCGCCCTGACCAAAAGCTTGGCGGAACAACTCTGTCTTGCAGGCCCTGCGGAAAGATGTCAGATCCCGCAGGGCCCTAGTCTCTTGTGACAGAGCATTCCACCAGGTTGGAGCTGCAGCCGAGAAGGCCCTGGCTCTAGTTGAGGCCAGCCTAACCTCTCTGAGGCCTGGGACCTTGAGGGTGTTATTATTTGTAGACCGTAGGTTTCTCTGTGGGGCATACCAGGAGAGGCGGTCCCGTAGGTACGAGGGTCCTAGGCCGTATAGGGCTTTAAAGGTTAAAACCAGCACCTTAAACCTGATCCTGTACTCCACCGGGAGCCAGTGCAGCTGGTATAGCACCGGATGAATGTGATCCCGCAGCGAAGACCCCGTAAGGAGTCTCGCTGCTGCATTCTGCACCCGCTGGAGTTTCTGGGTCAGTCTCAAGGGCAGCCCCACGTAAAGCGAGTTACAATAATCCAGTCTGGAGGTGACCGTCGCATGGATCACAGTGGCTAGGTCAGGGCGAGAGAGATAAGAGGCCAACTGCTTAGCTTGGCGGAGATGGAAAAATGCCGCCTTTGTTATAGCTGTAATCTGCGCCTCCATAGAAAGGGAGGTATCGAAGATTACACCCAAACTCTTAACGGACGGTGCTGGCACTAATTGCACCCCCGCAAGAGATGGGAGTTGCCCCCTCGATCCCATATCGTCCCGCCCCAGCCAGAGGACCTCTGTCTTCGAAGGATTTAACTTCAACCGGCTCCCACGTAACCATCCAGCCACAGCTTCCAGGCATCTGGTCAGTGTGTCTGGGGCCGAGTTAGGATGGCCATCCATCAACAGATAGAGTTGGGTGTCATCAGCATACTGGTGGCAACCCAGCCCAAAACTCCGGACAAGCTGGGCGAGGGGGCGCATAAAGATGTTAAAAAGCATCGGGGAGAGAATCGCACCCTGAGGCACTCCACACACCAAGGAGTGACGCGATGACAATTCCCCCCCAAGCGCCACCCTCTGTCCCCGATCAGAGAGAAACGAGCGCAGCCATTGAAGGACTGTGCCCTGGATCCCCACGTCGGCAAGGCGGTGGTCCAGGAGTTCGTGATCCACCATGTCAAAGGCTGCTGACAGATCTAGAAGAATCAGCAGCCCCGACCCGCCTCGATCCAGCTGCCTGCGGAGATCATCTGTTAGGGCGACCAGGGCCGTCTCGGTCCCATGACCAGCACGGAAGCCGGACTGGAATGGATCCAAAGCAGATGTTTCATCCAGAAACCTACCAAGCTGTTCAGCAACTGCTCTCTCAATCACCTTACCCAGGAATGGAAGATTCGAGACCGGGCGGTAATTGGATAGATCTAAGGGATCTAACGATGTTTTCTTTAAGAGCGGACGCACCACCGCCTCCTTCAATTCCCCTGGGAATATCCCGGTGCCAAGGGACAAATTGATGATATCCCCCAGGGGGGCCCGCACCCCGTCACGGGCACCCCGCCATACTCGCTCTAGCCGTCTGAGGTCCCGCTTCATTTTCCGAAGCTCCTCGGTAAACCAGGGAGCCCGGTTTCTGCGGGGTCGCAGAGGGCGCTTAGGTGCGATCTCATCGATGGCTGCCAGGAGCTGGGTATTCCAGCCCTCAACAAGCTCAGTCAATGAGTCGCCAGGGGGAGCAAGGTCCCGCAAGGCTTGACGGAATCTATCAGGGTCCATCAGCCTCTGCGGGCGAGCCCAAATCGGCTCGCCACCTAAGCAGGGTGGGGGTGGAAAGTCAATCCTGGCTTTCAGAGCGTAGTGATCAGACCATGGCACCTTCATCGAGGGAGACATGATCACATCTATACCGGCGCCAAAGATCAAATCCAGCGTGTGGCCTGCTTGATGTGTGGGGCCCGAAACAAACTGGGAGAGCCCTAGTGTCGCCATGGAAGACACCAGGTCCAGAGCCTGTGAGGAGGGAGTGGCATCAGCATGGATGTTGAAGTCCCCCAGTACCAATAGGTTGGGGAACTCCAAGGCCCAGCCAGCCACCGCCTCCAACAGGCCTGACAGGGTGGCTGCTGGTGCGCTAGGTGGCCGGTACACCAGCCAGACAGCCAAGCTCACCTCGGAGCCCCACACTAGGCCAACACATTCAATGCCGGGGATCGATGGCGATGGCAGAGCCCTGAAAGAACAGTCTTCTCGGATTAATAATGCCACCCCTCCCCCCCGGCCCACAGTCCGCGACTGGTGGAGGACGGAGAAACCTGGGGGCGCCATCTCTCGTAAGGTAACAGTTTCCCCTTCGCGCACCCAGGTCTCCGTCACACAAGCCAGGTCAACCCCCTGCGAGGTGAAGAAGTCTCGCAGGGTGGCGGTTTTTTTGCCTATAGACCTGGCATTGCACAACACCAGTGACGGAGGTGAGTAATCCTTGCTCACCCTACCTTCGTCCCTCGGGATGGGGCGCAGATTGGAAGGGGTACGAGCATATCCATATCTCGATCCCCTTCGCCTATGACATCTGCCCCCACCGCCATACCTCCCTCGCCCCACTACGGTAGCAATCCCAAGCCTCAAACCAACCTCCATTTACAGAATAGAAACAAGTCAAATCAAAAACAATTGTACCAACACAACAAGTCCCCACCCCACTCAATAGCCAACCCCAAACCAAACTAAAACAGAACAAAATAGAAATACATCAATAAAAACCACTGTTCACGGTGGGGCAACAAAATAAAAAATAAAAACCCCTATAAAACATTTTAAAATATATAAAAACATATTAAGCATTTGCCGCGGCAACATCAGTGTCCTTAAAACAGTAGCGGTGGCGAGTGTGGGCCCCGCCCCCTAGGCCTGGAAGAGTGTGCCTACAGGAGGGAGCGGCCTTCCTCAACCCCCACGGTGGAGCCGCAGGAGAAGGGGGGAAAGTTTAAATTATCCATTGTCCCACTGCTCTGTCCCTGATACAAAAATTATTAGGATTGTTTCTTTTGCTATCGACTCTGAGAGTTTTGGGAAGTCACCAAATAATTAACTGGGTTGCATGTCAGAACTTTACTAACCTGTATTTTGTATTAATTGTCAGATTGTGGGGGGAAACACTGTTCATGACGCTTTCTTCTTTCAATATTGCCCAGCAGAGTTTGTTCCCAGAAGCTTTGTCCATGCAAAATAATTCTGTACAAGCCTTGAAAGCGTTGTGGGAGAAAACCCAGCTGAAGGGAACACACAGCTTTGAAACTGCAATGGTTCAGTCTACATTTCCACACCAAAAGGTATTTCTCTTTCCTCCCCACCCCCAGTGAGCATTCATGAGGGTATGATGTGCATATTACTATATGATAGATCAGTGCAGTGGCCACCAAATCTGGACAGAGAGATCAAATCAATGCCGCTCCTCAGGATCATAGTGAAATTTTAGTGGACCATTGGCTGTGGAGTTTATATGCGAATGCTAGAAGCCTCTGAGACAAGATGGGCTTCGTGAAGCACTGAATTCAAGTACTCCGAAGCTGAAAATTCATGGTTGTGAATAAGAGCGTGGATATAATCAAAACTGAGGAAATCAACTGAGGGGAGAATCAATTGGATGCTGTTATCCCTAGATATGAACTCTCTAGAAAGGACAGAGAAGTACTGGGAGTGGTGTAGCTCTGCATGTTAAGAGGGTATAAAATTCAGATAAAGTAGAAAACTTGAAGGGACATAGCATACATTTTGTTTCACATGTTCACAAATATAAAAGTGGGAACAGAAAGTTGTTACCGGTACTTTTAACAGCACCACATAGGAGAGGGCACAGTCTCTTTCTCTGCTTCATGGGTAGCAAATCTTGCATGTGGACTTCTCTTTTTTGTTGTCATTTAGTGCAAATGTATTATTCCCCTCAACCTCCTAGACACACCGTTATTTTGATCACCTTTTGGAGATTGAAAAGGAGGGAAAGCATATGGGTTTGTCCAGAATGATAAAGGCTATCCTTTTGTGAAGTACACTTGTCTTGGTCATTTGTCTGACTAACCTAATGTACCGTAATGAACTTTTGCAAATATGTACTTTTATATAGACACATATATGTGAGCTTGCATGCAGAGCTTGTCTCTGTTGGGATGCGTCCGGGGAGACAGGGGCATTTGGCAGGCCCCCAGCTGGCTCTAGCCACCGGCCAGCAGCCGGGCAAACTCTGGTTCCCGGAACAGCATTAATCAGCGACTCGAGCCTCCGAAACGTTCAGAAGCTGAGCACGCTCTTACCAGCAGAGTGAATAAATCTTCACAACGGAAGTGGTGGACAGAGACATGTATAAGCATTATTTACAGGCGTTTATTCAGCATAGTTCAGGAACAAAGGAAAATACATGTCTGCTTCCCTTCGTGTCCAAGCAAAAAAAAAAAAAAGCAATATAGCAAAAGCAATATACAAAATGGAAGTTCCCAGCAAGCCTGTGCTGGAAGTAAACAGGCATGTGTCACACAACAGTCATGCCTGTTCCTTTTACGGTGGGACGGAACTATATCCTAACAGTCTCCATTTTAATTTTTGCACAGTCTCTTGTTTTTAAATGCTGTTCAGAGGTAAGTTGCCTTTGATCATTTAGCCTTCATGGCTAAAACCAATCCATAGGCCCACCCTCCATGACTGGGGCATAGTGGCAGAGGACAATAGAACATAAGAAGAGCCTCCTGGATCAGGCCAGTGGCCCATCTGATCCAGCATCCTGTTCTCACCAAGATGCCTAATGGGAAGCCTGCAAACAGAATCTGAGCTCAGCAGCATGCTGAGAGCAACAGGCATCAGAACTATGCTGCCTCTGACAGTGGAGATGGAACATAGTCATACCTTCTACAAGTTCATCAAAGTTGGTGGCCCTCACTATTTTTGGCAGGAGCGAATCCCATAGTTTTACTGTTTGAAGAAGCACGTTCTTTGGTCTATTCTGAATCTTCCAGCATTCAGCTTAATTTGATATCTCCAAGTTCTCAAGGACTGCCTCTTCCCATATGAACCAACCCGGACCATGTGACCATCATATGAAGCCCTTCTTCGTGTGCTCCCTCCACAAGAGGTCCAGGGGGTGGCAACACAAGAACAGGCCTTTTATGCTGTGGCTCCCCATTTGTGGAATGCTCTCCCCAGGGAGGCTCGCCTGGCGCCTTCATTACATATCTTTAGGCGCTAGCCTTTAGCTAGTTAAACCTTCTATGGCCTTTTAAATGTTGGAGGGTTTTTCGGTTCGTTTTGTTATATATTTTGTTTTCTCATTTTGTATTTATCTGTTGTGAACCACCCTGTTTTCTTCAGATGATGGGCAGTATACAAATTTGAATAATAATAATAATTCTATTAATAATAATAAAGTGGGGGGGACTTTTCTCTGTCCACTATCCATGCCAAGAATACTTTTATACACTTCTATTGTATTGCTTAAACCAAGTTTAATATGTTTCTGAACTTGTCAGTGCCTGCATTGATGTCCTTTGTGCTGTTTTTTGAAAGGTCGTTGAGTTTTGTCCCTAATCCCTTGCACATGCAATTGATATCTGTATGGAAAATGAAAATGCTACTTGGCTTTTGCTCTTATTTACAAAAAGAGAGAGAATAGCTGCCTTTTGCAAATTCACATAATTGTGGGCTATGGCACTGACTCTGCAGGGGTAATGATTTGTGCATGCTCTGTCCTGTCAGCCTTTGCCCTTTAAAAATATCCCTGCTTCAAAGCAATTGCAATTTCAAAGATGGCAAAGAATTCTGTTTCAAAGCAAAGCAAAAGATTTCTGGTCAAAGCTATTAGCCTTTAATTGGTGTTCAAGCAAGTGACCAGCATGGATTTTTTAAAAAATGTATTTGAAGTAAGTCTTAACTACCTACAATTTTCTTTTAAAAAATAGAAAAACTGCACACAAACACACACACACATATGCACAACCCTAACTTAAAATTGCATAATTGAAGTCAAGCAAGGAGAGATGCTTTTCTAAAACTTTCACTGACAGAAAAGATCCAAAAAACATGAAGACCAGAAAATAGCAACTTTTGTCTGAATGAGGCTAAACTGCTATAGGATTGACCATCACATTAAAAAATAATAATTTAAGTCCTCCCAATGTCCCCACAAATTGAACAAAAACGATGTAAGTAAAAAAACTATTTTTTTTTTACAAACAAGAGACTCACTTTGTGTCCAGAGCTGCTTACTTACACAAAAACGCAGTGAAATAAAAAGCAAACAGCAAAACTTCTCAGGGAACAAGCATACTTCTAATGCCACGTTGGGACATTTTTGAAGCAATCCTCACTCCTCCAATCCTCACTTTCCAGCTGTGATGGAAAGGCCTCATGACAAGAGATGGGAGTAGACGCATTCGACGTGGGACTGAATTCAAAGCAATCAGATCAAGTCACATGTTTTTTCTGCTTAGAAAAAGTTTGGGTGGGGTTTCCTTTGAGGAGAAGTATAAAATAGGACAAGGCAATAATGTGTGGCTTTGAGTTTTTGAAAAAATCCTTTGCATTCTTATTGAGAGGACTGAAGTATCTTTGGAAATCTTATTATATTTGCTGCTAAACATTTGACTGAGTTCCATGAGTTAGTAGTAGTAGTAGCTGCTGCTACCAGGCCTAAGACAAGGGTGTAGTATTTGTCGTAGGACGTGGGTGGCGCTGTGGTCTAAACCACTGAGCGTCTTGGGCCTGCCAACCAGAAGGTCAGCGGTTCGAATCCTCATGGCGGAGTGAGCTCCCGTTGCTCTGTCCCAGCTCCTGCCTACCCAGCCGTTCGAAAGCACACCAGTGCAAGTAGATAAATAGGTACCACTGTGGCAGGAAGGTAAATGGCGTTTCCGTGTGCTCTGGCTTCCCTCACGGTGTCCTGTTTTGCCAGAAGCGGTTTAGTCATGCTGGCCACATGATCCGGAAAGCTGTCTGTGGACAAACACCGGCTCCCTTGGTCTGAAAGCAAGATGAGCGCCACAACCCTATAGTTGCCTGTGACTGGACTTAACCGTCCAGGGGCCCTTTACCTTTTTTTACCTTTACTAGCCTACAAAGCCTTGAATGGCTTGGGACTTGAAGTGCTTACTTTCCCCAGTATCAGCCATCTCAGGACCTACAATCAGCAGTGGAAGCTCTGTTGGTGGAGTGAGTGTTGCCTGGTTGGCACTGACCTATGGCAGAGCTTCCTCAGTGGCATTTCCCTGTTTGTGGAAATCATCCCTGGTGAGTTGTCTTCCCCTCTCTCTTGCTTTCCTACTCACCCATGCATTTAATGAGTAAATCTAGGAATCTGAAGGATGTTGTTCTCTGCAACCTTGCAAATACTAGTTGTGAACCTGCTGCCATTTACATTTTTTGAAATATGTTCTTTATTTTCATTTTATTTTCCTACTTCGTTGTTTTCCATCCTGGGCTCCTTTGGGAGGAAGGGTGGGACAGAAGTCTAATAAATAAAATAGTAGTAGTTTTAGTAGTTTTATCATAATTTTAAAAATCTTTCCTGCCCTTTCTTCAAAAAGCATCCATTTCTACTCCACTCCTTCATTTTATCCTGCAAAGTAGGTTAGACTGAGAGATAATGAGCTGACCATGGTCACCCAGTAAAAATTTGACCAAGGATTGTCCTTCTCCTAGTTTAATATAACATGCTAATATGATAAGCCTTGTTCAGCATTCACCACCCTGGCTCTTAACCCTATGAGGTGTAGTAGGGGTTGTGTCTGAGCATAGGACATTGGGAGAGAAGCTTCTTCACTTACAGTTTCCTGCTGCTTTCAGCTCAAAATCACACACATCCCAGTGATGCTTTGATCTGCTAGATCTTCCCTTTAACTTTGGGTAAAGTATAGATAGCAAAGCAGGATGGGGAGAGTGATTTGGAGCTGGAAAGTGACTAGAGTGGAAAGGTCTCACTGCCTTCCCTTCCTTACTCCCCGATCCACAGCCTACCCAAGCTCATTTTGGCTTTTAAACAATGCAGAAAGTTGAGGGTGGCACTCTGTGTAATGTGTAGTTTGAGCTTTAGAGACACAGCGCTTGACTGAGGGAACCACCAAGAGAGAGGAAAGTGCTTAGGAAAGTGAAATCCGTCTTGGCCAGAATTCTAATACATCATGCAAAATTCCCCAAAGACATTGAACATGCAGCAACAGCAAGTGCTATTGCTCTCAAATGTATTAGTTGCATAATCATATTACGAGCAGGACAAGGGCTCATAAGAAAGATGAACAAGCTTGCCCTGTTGCTCACGTTCTGTAAAAAATATGTGCTGAGTCTCCTTATC